ATCACTTTTAAAGTTTGTATAATTATTTACAGTATTTGAGGTCATGTTACTATACTATACATACAATACATTAATCTTACTTGATTAACATCAGAACATTAACAAAGAAACTTATGTCAGACGAAGTAGATCGTTTGATCAAAGGCTTAGAACGATTGGATTTAAATCTGTCTTTAAGGCCTGAAAAATTAACATGTGAACAATTTTGTCATATTACCAAAATATTTTGTGATAACTCTATATCAATTCCTACAAATTGATGTATCACAGGCTTTCAATGTTGCTGTATTTACTGGTGAACTAAACAATACTGAAAAGTACTGAAAAATACTGAAACAATACTGAAATAGTGAATTTATCAAAGCATTTACTTATATGGTTCGTAGTGTAAAAAAAACTATATAATGATTAAAAAAATTTATTAAAAAAAATTAAAGATAACTTAATATCATGATTAGAATAATAATTTGCATTTTTAACGATTTCACGATTCATGATACACTATAATTTTAAGCGATTACTATAAATTCTCGACATGCAGTACATCCATGGGTATTACTTTGAAATAACAGATCGATTCTTCTAATTGACATAACAAGCAAAGTTCTACAGTGATAATGAGTTTATTGTATTAGCCAATTTTCACGATTGACTGACATAATAAAAATTTACTGCACTGCATGTAAAGTTTATATAATATGATTCGTGATTTGTGTATTTGTCACACGATTTATAAACAAAGTGATAATATACTTTTTATAACTTGACTATTACAACAAATGAATAGTCATGCTATTAATATCCGTATAAAGAGAAGATCCAGAATATTCTATGTATAGTCATGCTATTAATAAAGAGAAGATCCAGAATATTCTATTTATGTACGTACTAATACGTAAACGAATGTGGGATAAATTTTATTAATACCGACCAGTGCGAACACTAGCTGGATTAAAGATCCGACTATCGACTATCCGATCAAAACTTATCGAATACAAAAAAGAAAATCGGAATAACGATAATGAATGACTAAACAAGGCAAAAAAGATCGCCTAGTCCATGTGCTTTCAACGTATAACGATAAATATGTTTGATTTACGTAGAAATATGATTTCATGCATATTTCTATTTTTATTAACCGAGACTTAACGTTAACTATGTACGTGCATGCATTTAAACCCGGCATACACAACATTCTATTAATTTTGAATTTGATGCACATTCTATTAACGTTATTTATTTAAAAATATAAATTTTGACATTTAATTCATTTCGACAAATCGGATAAAGCGATGAAATTTATACGTTATCATTTTACTATTTTAAAATTGGGACTGTGATGTTACATGTTAATGTTGATACCAATGTGCTCATAAATATGCGTCAATATTTTTATCATGTTATATTTTGATTACTAACACAAAATGTATAAAATTTTCCTTATTAAGTAGAAGTATGTTATTGTTATTACTACATAAAGTTTTGGTAAACATAGCATATACACATAACAAAATTCATTCGGACATATACTCCATGTTCATTACCTGTTACGCATATTGTCTCGAAAAATCAGTTGTACGGTCATCAATGTTTGGATTTGGAGTCATTGAGAAAACTACCGCAGAAGATAAACTTATAAATAGAGTCGTCAAAGTAGAAATAGTGTTTTAAATTTACTTTTTTGTTACAAATTAGACATAT